GTGGTAAGAGGAAGAATGAAGACAAATACGACATAACCAGGTTCTAATGTATCATTGAATCTTGAAATGATTGCATGATTTTTGTAGGTTTGGTTTTACATGTGAACCACTTGCTAACTGGGTAGCTGATAGAACCGGAGTTAAAGTAATTAGTAAAGGAAATATGTTTTGTATTTTTTGTGAATATTCAATTTCACTGAAAAATTTCCACTAATAGCTTGCAAACTACACCATGTACATGTGTATGTTGGTAAAATTTTGTGATTTTAATTTTTTATTTCTTGTCACTGTATTTTATTAACTTTATTTTGCTCTATAATTTTATTCTCCTTTCTTTTCTCTGTCCTCTTCTCTCTCTCAGATATCAATTGTTCGTCCTCCTAATTTCACTGTCATGTTAATATGGATTCCATTGCTTGTTGTAGCTGCTGTTGTTGGATACTTGAAACGTGAGAACTTACATTATTTCTACGACTCTAGACTCTGGGCCACTATTGCTATGGTCAGTTAATAGCTACATGTTTATTGTTGAGTAGTTGATTATATTGCTAAATGCTAAGCCAGGGATAGTATCTCATTTTGGTTTACCATAAGTCTAGACAATTGGCCGAGTGTAGCAGGGTTTCCCACAGGATTTTGGCACAGTGCTCATGGGGCTACTTGTACTTGTCAGTGGATTGTCAATTTGCTCAAAAATAGACCCTGTACAAAAATCATGAGGAGAGAATTCTCCATTTTTATATAATTTTGATGCATATACCCTTGTGTCGTATATCAAGTTCAACTTTGAGCTGATTCCGATCAAATTTGGATTTTATATAAATTTTTAAAAGTTGCTCAAAAATCTAACCAACAACCAAAAATGACTAAGGGATATCTCTATTTTTATGATTTTTTTGTGATACACGTACATGTACAGTACATGTCCTTATGCTGTGTATCAAATTTGAGCTACATGTACATTGTACATTGTACATTGTACATGTAGTTCTGAACAAAATTTAGATTTTTACAAATTTTTAAATTGCTCCAAATGCCATGTACTGTACTTCGTTTACATGTACATTAGCATTACATAGACTTTCATTAGATTTCTGATACATGTATATAAACTATAATTCTAATTAATAATTTTTGAACTTATGGTATGGATCGAGTCTATTGGATTAGATTTATTAATTGTTACATCATTTCCATTCCCTCTGTCTGTCTGTCTGTCTCTCTCTCTCATGCAGGCCTGGATATTTATCATGTTATCTGGTCAGATGTGGAATCACATTAGAGGTCCTCCTTTCTCTCACCGCAATCACCAAACAGGCCAAGTTGTAAGACACTTTACTATACATGAGATAAAGCCCATATACAATGTACATGTATACCGTATAGGAGGTATATTTCCCAGTGGAAATATTTCATGAAAATCACCTTTCAACCTATTCACAGAAAAAAAATTTGCTTTTTTCTTCTACTGACAATTATTAGTGTCATGAAAAATAATTTTTATAGATAAAAATTTTCACGAATTTTTTAAAATTGAAATTAGGGAAATTAAATCCCCGTGAAATATACCCCTTTTACGGTAATTTATAACTCTGATTTTGAATAATATCATTCATGCATACACTTGTACAATGTAATTATGATGGCTTTGTTTTAGTGACATCCTCATGTTTTATGTAATATTAGACTCATATCAAGATTATACTGACATTTTCATTGCTAGGGGTACTTCAGTGGAACCAGTCAGTACCAGTTCATTGCCGAGACTTACATTATAATGCTCCTGTGTATCCTTCATGTACTAGTACATGTACACATACATGTACATGTAGTCATTGCTGATGACTAGTCATAGTTACATGTATGTGAATTGTGAAAGTAGATGGACTATCACTAATAAAGGAGCTACATTGTACATGTATATGTACGTCTGCATGTATAGTACTACTAATTATAAAGTGCATGAAGAATAAAATAATATAAAGTTTGAGTCAAATAAAATGTGCTGGTAACACATATTGTGATGTGAATATTACTTTGTATTGATAATTTATTTTGTCATTTCCTTAACTTTTTCCTAAAATTTCTTCTGAACAATTCCTCCTCTATTTGTTCCCTTCATTCCTCTAGATGCTGTTCTTAGTATTGGTATGGTACTGATGGGGGACAAGTTTAAAGTGTTTGAAGAGATGGGGATTCAGAAATGTAAGTAAAACCCTCTCACTCTAACAAATACACAATACTTGTTACTAAAAATAGCTTCCCTTCACCTCTTACTCTAACATACACATGTACATGTTTTTGATAATGTAATGGACAAATACACCTACATTATGTATACCTGTTACTAAAAATAATACTAGTATATGCATGTACATGTAATTCATTGTTTATTGTGGAGCTACATGTAAGTGATAGCTAAGCAGTTTTGTCCTGTATTTTGTTTGTTGCAGCTATTTTAAAACAGTGAAATGCTGATGATGCTTTTCCGACCTTTGCTGCTCTGGCAGTATAGCATGCCCATATGCAATCACCCAATGTAGAGTATTATGGTTATGGTATAGTCTCCTGAGACTATGAATATCATTTTGGACCTTTGAATTTTATTCATTTCTTTTCATTTTTCATACACATGCTCTCTCTCTCTCTCTTGTCTGCATTATACATGTACATGTACATATACATGTACACGTACATGTACAGGTGTATATACTGTAAAGAGTTAAGTTGGAGCTACATGTACATGTACATATACATGTAGATTTGAAGGGTGTGAAATTTCATGGTATTGTATCTG